ATCAGTTATTTTTTATATATTGTATGCAGAATTATATTTTTTAATTAATTTATTTTTAATTTCATATTTAAAAATAATAATTTTTAAACAATATATTATGTAGTGTGTTGAATTAAGAATACATTTATATATATATATATATATATACATAAAATCATATTAGGCATCTTTGATAGACAACTCTTATGAATGCAATTGAAAAAGGTAGAATGTACAAATCAATCCCTAAAGTTAGGTAATAGGAATAGATTCATTCCAAACAAAAAATAAAAATAATTTCACTTATAAAATTTTTAATTTGGACAAATTACCTCACATATCACATTAGATAATATCAACATTTAATTAACAATAGACTTATCAATGGCGTAATAAATTAACATAATATTAACGTCATCTGATATCACTTGTTAAATTTAAGATAATTTATTCAGATTAAAAACTTCATAAATAAATTTATCTCTATTTTTTTATTTTTTTATTTATGGGTAAATCTAATCTTGCTGATAAAACCCAGTCAACAATTCACAAAGAATCAAGAGATAAAAATGAGAAAAGAATCGAGAAGGGAGGTGAGATGAGAAACAGAGTCTTAGAAGGGATGAGAAGAAAAGAGAGAAATTGAAGATAGGAAAATTGTATTCGCTTTCGATAACCAATTCTGTTACAAGAATGAGGTTTATAGTAGCACTTTTTACATACATCATATCTCATGCATCATCATCTACATATATCATCAACAACCATCCACCTAAGCACACCCCCTACCACATCAGCTGTCTTATTTCCAGTCCTGTAACAATCCCTCCCCTAAATAGCCCTTGTCCTCAAGGGTGGAAAGAAGGAAAAACATAGCTAAATATCAACCCTTGTCTAATTCACCAGTTAAACTACCCTTCTCTCTGTTGTATCCACATCTTCCTCCTCAAAGGACACTACCTCAATATTAAACAACTTCTTCTGATGGTACCTATGGCCTGGCACAAACTTCTCATCACACCAGAAGCATAAGCCTTTGACTTTCTTTTCTTCCAACTCCTTTTCAGATAGTGTTGTAAGATTCTTATTCCTAGGAGGTTGTGGGCTGACAGATGATAAAAGGGCACTGTTCCTTTGAGTGAAAGGTGCGATTAGAGGAGAAACAGAAGCTACATTTGAAGAAAGAGCAGGTGTTATACTCATAGGATTGAGACCAACTAGTAGGTTCAAACTGCTTCATCATAGAATTGAAATTAGCTTCATAATTGGCCTAATGCAATTGGGGAATGCA